CAACTCAACCCCGACCTGATCGATCCCACCGCAGCACCTCCACGTCTGCAGCCTCTATCGAGGTCAGCACTGCAGGCTGCCTTGCCGCCCGCCGCTTTTGCCGCCCCTCTTGACACCCTCACCAGGGGCTGCTCTTCCAATTCTGTGCAGGCTGCTGCCGGCCGTCCCTGTCTGGAGCCGCAGCTCTCTAACGGCTCCTCTCCTGGCCGCTAGCGCCCCCGGCTCTCCCCCATGGCTCGGTGCCTTGTCTGACCCTCATCTGCAGCCGGTTCGTTGGCTGCTGCTGCCTCTGCTCCCACTTTGGTTCAGTACGGTTACTTCCTTCTCGCTTTACAATATCTTTGTTGGACTCTCTCATTGTCTTTTCTTCCCCAAGCCAGTTTGTTATAGCTTCAGGCCTGTTCTGATGCTACTTGGGCTAGCGATCCTTCGGACCGCTGGTCCCTTTCTGCTTACTGTGATTTTCTTGGTGGTTCTCTCATTGCCTGGAAGATGAAGAAACATCCAACTATTTCCTGCTTGAGTGCAGAGGCTGAGCTACGAGCTATGGCTCTTTTGACAATAGAGGTGACTTGGCTACGATGGATGTTTGAGGATTTTTGGTATTTCTGTCATCACATCCACTCCCTTCTTCTCTGACAATACATGCGCTATGAGTATTGTGCGAGACCCCGTGAAGCATGAGCTCACCAAGCATATTGGTGTCGATGCTCTCTTTGTGCGCTCCCATGCGCAGGATCAGGTGATTGCTCTTCAGTATGTGCCTTCAGGTGGATTTCTTCACGGAGGCCCATATTATAGCACATTCTGGCTTGTACCTCTCCAAACTCAGTGTTGTTAATCCACCATGAGTCTGAGGGGTTGGGGTTGTTTTTGGTGGTTGTTAGAGTTGTATATATTAGCCGTGCAGTATCCCAATTCTACAAGGGGTTTTCAGCATATTTACCACACCAGTACATATATATATTTCGGCCTATGGCCTCATGGAAATACAAGTTGCATATTTCCTCAGTCACAACCATAAGATGAATGTCAAATAAAAGGCAAACTATCAGATTTACAACCCATTTGGAGGGTTCTATATTCTTGATTAAACGTACATTTGGTTTGCTGAAGTCATCTTCATAGCTCCACCGGGCTTCTTCTTAGACCCGAGCTACTGAAATTACTATCACTCCTCACATTCAGACAATCATCAGAACAGCGAGGAAATTGGGGGAATTTTACTTAGGGTTTTGACACCAACAGAGGTGCGAGATAGAGCCAGTCGGGTCATGGCGGCTAGGGTTTAACCCTTTACAAAACGAGATAGCTCCACTACCTACAAATCCTTGGCTTTATAGCCATTACAGCAGTTGTAAAGTAAAACAGAAAGGAAGGGAGCAGGTGAAGTTGTCGGATGGTAACAGCGACAAGAAGAGAGCTGGTCGCCATCCGATCGAATTTTATCGTCGAATCTGAGCTCACTCTGGTGCGAAGCGGTAAGTGAGGTCTTGGACCGTTGGATGCAGATTGGGTGGATGAATTTGAACTTTAGGCGAAGCGGTAAGTTATGTGTTAACTGAAGAATCGTTCTGGTATTGATTTCTCCAGTTAGGACCTGACACTTCTGTCCTCCTATTGGCACACCTGCTAGCATAAAAAGAAACAAAATAGTACCTCCTTTACCTGCTATGACAGTGTGGCACCCCCGAAGAGGAGCTTTGGCAGTGTGATTTGGTGCTCCTGCTCTCCTGCCCCAGCAGCCAGTGGATAGAACTTGAGAAACTCCAAGCTATTCCTTCCATCTCACCGGAAAAGCTCTCAAGGAAAAAAACTCATCTCCATCCCATTCTCGATTTCATCCAGAAAATGTCGAACCCGTTTACTCTTACAAATTTTGAACTCCATATCCGTACAAAGGCTGTACCTTTTTATGCCACTGCAAAATGATTTTGAACCCTTGTATACCTCTTGTCCATTAGACAGACCATTAGAGCTGTAAAAAGACAATTTTGCTCTTGGCCACTTAGACATTGCAAGTATCTCTCTGTTAGTTCTTCGTCATTCCTTCTCTGATTCTCTGCCTAGGGTTCTTATAGCAGATTGCCCCAAACATAAAATCATCTCTCCTTATCCTTGACGCACCTTAGATTTTCTCCACTTTTCCTTTTAAGATACGCAGATCAATAACACAATGAACCAATATAATATAGAAGTAAAAGAGAAAAATCTTTGCCTGACAGACACCCTCATCACGTAGGCTCCAGAACTGCAACGCCTATGGCCACACTCCTTCCCGGAACTCTCGTTTGCTGCTCCCCACCATCCCCACCCCACCCCCTCACCGGCTCTTCTGCATGAAGGCTGCTGTTGTGCACCCTGCTCGGGACCATGCAAAGGGCCAAACCTCCGCATGGTGGCATGTGGAGTCGAATGCTGGACCTGGTTGCTCTTCAATACACGCCTTCCGAGTCAAAGTTGGCTGATTTCTTCATGAAGGCCCAGACTACAACGTATCACAGCTTTTATGCTGGCCCATGGCCTCATGGGAATACAAGTTGCATATTCCTAACAAGTTTCAATCTGATATTTTTTCATGCATCATTGTCGATTTTGTTCATTAACCATCATATGGCGGTGATTGCAGCGTTGTTATGTTCCTCTCTGACATGTCAGGAAGAAGCCCGTTATACAAGAAGTACGCCTGAATAAACATGAACTACCACCCACATCTTTTATTCACAGTTGCTTTTGTGGTTAATTTATTGACACACTGTTGCTCGTGTTGTAGGGCGTATGTGTTTTTCAGTTCTCCCATACAGAAAGACTTAGTTGCTCAAATAAAAAGGGATTCAAGTATATTACCTCGTATTGGTGCACTTAGTGAGGTTACCTTAGCTTTTTCGTTCATTTCTATTTTATACTTGAGTATTGTTAAAATGAAAAAGTGTTCTGTTGGCTATTCACTATTTGTTCTCCATGTCATTTCCAGATGAATTTGGAGTACTTCCCTATTGATTCCCAGGTATCCTAGTTCTTTGAAAGATTATTTGTTCAGATACAGTATGTTGCTTGATACATGTTCCGTAATTGTTATTTTTGACACATATTTCCCTATAAATATTATTTCACACATGATTTAACAGCAGATGGTAATTTGACTTGACGCCTCACGTTTGCTCAGTCATGAGATTCTCACAAATAAAAGGGGGAAGATATTGCTGTTTAGATTACAGTGAAATTCAATTAGCAGTATAGGATTCTTCGTGCCTTTTCCTTTTGATTTTTTGGTCCTGCTTTGTCATTTTATAGAGCATGTAACTGATGCTCCATTGTGAAAAGATCCATAAGCATATCTGTAGACGGGTTTATGTGTTTTCTGTTATTTGTCCTAGCAATAGATGTTGCTACGATTAGGTTATCACTCGTCAGTTTTGATATTTTGAATTAAATTGGAGATGCTCCGATAGAATCACTAGCATCAAACCACAGAATCTAGTGGTCGTACTTGATTCTACCAACGATAAACTTTCTATAGTTTTCCATGTACTTAGAAAATGATACAATTTAATGTGTACTCTAAAAGCCATGATTTGAAAACTATAATCCAATGAAATCGTTGTTTATGCAAATTCATGAATAAGTTTAGACTTAATCTAAATAGATGGAAGGTGATTTTGAACATAAAAAGACATGCATTAATTATTTATATTTTAAAAACTAGGATCATAGCAAATTACATAAGTAATCTTAATTTTTTGCTAGAATTGTAAGTGTTGCCGCCAGGTATTGGAGGCAGCACTGTAACCGCAAGCCTAAACATGCAGCGCAGTTCGTAACCACAATACCAACAGTTGGGCCTTAGGTAGGCACATGGCTAATCCTTGGCAGCCAATAAGTCCAAGTTTAACCCTAGGGAAATATATCTCTATTAGGAAGTTATCTTTACTTTCCACACTGTTAAGATTTGGTTTGCTTTCCAAGTTATGTGATCTCTCTAATCTATATAAAAAAAGTAAAAAAAAGGTACGATGCTTTTGTCGGGTACGCATCTCCCTCGTTGCCCGCTGACTCTTGATGGTGTTCCCTACATTGATGCCGTCTTGCACATGCGCCGTCTCTCGGTGCTTGGTGCTCGTCTGCCTGTGATGTCGTCACCTCCGGCGTCTTCCGCATGCTGTGTTGTACCCTCTCTAGTGACTTTTCTCATGACTTCCGCCGGTGGTGATGGTCGCTAATGTTAGGAAAGAGCAACTAGTATTTCCTGAGGGCCAAAGGCCATTACATATACATGTGAGTCAAAGTGCAGGAAACCCCTTATAGAACGGGGATATACCGGAAAGGGACTATACACATCTAACACCCCCCCTCAAACTCATGGTGGATCAACAACACTGAGTTTGGAGAGGAAAAAGGTATGCTGCGCTCGAGTCTGTGCCTTCGTGAAGAAGTCAGCCAACTGTAACTCTGAGGGCACATAGTGAAGAGCGAGAATCTGATCCTGCACAGCAGCACGCACAAAGTGGGCATCCACACCGATGTGCTTGGTGAGCTCATGCTTCACCCGGTCACGCGCAATACTGATAGCACCAGTACTGTCTGACAGTAAGGGAGTCGAGGTAGGAGCCGACACACCAAAATCCGCAAGTAACCATCGCAACCAGATCACCTCGGCCGTCAACATAGCCATGGCTCGCAACGCAGCCTCTGTACTCGAGCGAGAAACTGCAGTCTGTTTCTTTGTCTTCCAGGCAATCAGAGAGCCACCAAGAAAAACACAGTAAGCAGACAGCGAGCGTCGATCAGAGAGATCACTAGCCCAGGTAGCATCAGAGTAAGCCTGGAGCTCAAGAGAACTGGAGCGAGGAAAGAAAAGGCGCTGAGAGATCGTGCCACGAAGATATCGTAGAACACGGAGGAGGTGACTATAGTGGACAGAGGTGGGGGCTGAAACAATCTGACTCAGGATGTGAACGGGATAGGAGATGTCAGGACGCGTAACAGCAAGATAGACAAGGCTACCGACGAGGTGACGATAGCGAGTGGGATTAGGGAGAGGGTCACCATCAGAGGCACGAAGCTGAACGTTGAGCTCCGTAGGAGTCACAACAGTGCGGTCATCACTGAGAGCAGCTCGAGCAAGAAGATCCTGAATGTATTTCTCTTGAGAGATGTAGAAGCCATCAGAGGTGGAGGAGATCTCAATCCCAAGAAAATAGCGAAGAGGACCGAGGTCAGTCATAAGGAACTGCTCGTGAAGGCGGGCCTTAACAAAGGCGATGTAATCAGTGTCGTCACCAGTGATGATCATGTCATCAACATAGAGAAGGAGAAGAGTCCGACCACGAGGAGACGTGTGAACAAACAGCGCGGGATCATGGTCACTGGGCAAGAAACCAGCCGCGGTCACCACAGCGCTCAAACCAGGCGCGAGGGGCCTGTTTGAGACCATATAGAGAGCGGCGAAGTCTACAGACCAGTCCATCAGGAGCATAGTACCCCTGTGGTGGCTGCATATAAACCTCCTCACGCAACTCGCCATTGAGAAAAGCGTTCTGAACATCAAGTTGAGAGATAGACCACTGACGAACAGAAGCCACAGCAAGAAGAGTGCGGACAGTGGTCATGTGGGCCACAGGAGCGAAAGTCTCATCATAATCGCGCCCTTGCTCCTGCTGAAAGCCACGGGCCACAAGACGAGCTTTGTAGCGCTCAAGAGAACCATCGGAGCGAGTCTTAAGCTTGTAGACCCACTTGCAGGTGATGGGACGGACACCAGAAGGGAGGGGAACGAGATCCCATGTGCCAGAGCGCTCAAGGGCAGCAAGCTCCTCGGCCATCGCAAGCTGCCATTCAGGCTGAGTCATGGCAGTGCGATAGGAAGTGGGCTCAGTCAAAACAGAGAGACCGTACCGATCAGGGGAGTAGCGATCAGGCGGAGGGCGAGGCCGAGCACGGAGGTTGTGAACCGGGGGAGGCGTGAGAGGTGCAGCAGAGGTGGAAGGCTCGTCAGAGGAGACATCCTCAGGACGAGGGCGACGAGTATAGTGGAGGGGAAACGGGGAGAGAGGACGACGGACTGGAGATGAGGGTGGAGAGGTGGAGTAGGAGGAGGGAGAAGACGGGGTCGGTGGTGAATGAGAAGGAATGAGAGGTGCAGGAGGAAGAGGTGACACAGGAGGCACGTAGCGGGGCGTATCGGGAATGAGGAAGGAAAGGTCGTTGACAGAGAAACTCGAGGAAGAAGAACGTGGGTAGTAAGAACGAGACTCGTCAAAAGTCACATCACGCGAGATGCGTAAGCGACGACCCACTGGATCCCAACATCGATAGCCCTTGTGCTCATCACTATAGCCAAGGAAAACACACTCAACCGACTGAGCAGTCAGTTTGGTGCGTTCTCGGGGGGCAAGAAGAACATAGCACACACATCCAAACATACGAAGAGCTGAGTAGTCAGGAGAGCGACCAGTGAGACACTCCATAGGAATGCCACCCTGAAGAGCAGTCGATGACTGAATGTTGATGAGATAGGTGGATGCGGAAACGGCCTCAGCCCAAAAATGGGGTGGAAGGGAAGCAGCAATCATGAGCGCACGAGCCGTTTCAAGCAAATGACGATGCTTGCGTTCGGCAACGCCATTCTGAGCATGAGCCCCAGGACATGAGAACTGGGCAAGAGTACCCTGTTCCGCTAGAAAACCATGCAACAGCTGAGAGATATACTCCCCAGCAGAGTCAGCACGAAAAGTACGAATGGGCGTGGCAAACTGAGTGTGAACCATGGCAGCAAAACGTTTGTATATAGAGAGAACCTCGCTACGAGATTTCATGAAGTAGAGCCAAGTGTAGCGAGAGAAATCATCAATAAACAAAACATAGTAGCGATGACCACCTTTCGAATCAAAGGGAGCAGGATCCCAGACATCAGAATGAACTAAGTCAAACGGATGCTGAGATACTGACTCACTAGTGGGATAAGGTAACTGAGTCTGTTTGCCAAGTCTGCAACCATTACAATGTAAGGAGACATCTCCAGATACAGACCCTAAGAGGCCCTGACGAACTAAAGAAGACAAGCGAGAGCCACAGATGTGACCAAGGCGATGATGCCACTGCTGGAAGGACGCAGACGAAGAGGCAGCAAGAGCATGGGAGCTGGCAGAAGTGGTGGCAGCGGAAGGAACACAAAGCCAGTCAACCTCCCAAAGGCCCTCTGACTCACGGCGCCGAGGGCCAGCACCAACCAAAGTCTTGGTGCGACGATCCTGAATGGAGCAAGAGTCGGTATCAAGAATGACACGACAACCAAAATCAGTAAGTTGGGCAGCAGAAAACAGATTCATGGTAAGACGAGGAACATGTGAAACACTCGGAACAGAAAAGGACGGAGTGGAAAGAATACCACGACTAGCAACAGGAAGAGATGTGCCATCGGCAGTAAAAACATTAACAGGCGAATCAAGAGGTCGGAGGGAAGACAACGCGGAAGAATCAGAAGACATATGAAAAGAGGCTCCAGAGTCCAGAACCCACGAAGATGTACCTGACTGTGTAGATGCCTGTGACGGTGAGGAGGAGGATGCAGTCACAGCAGCAGCAGAACCAGTCGACGAGGAGCCTGAGGAAGCAAGAAGACGCTTGAGGCAAACAATGTCCTGGTCAGTGAGTGACGGAGCCGAGGAAGCCACAGGGGGCCCGCTGGAGGAGGCGCGCCTCTGGTCTCGCTTCTTCTGGCGGCAATCAGACTCTGGGTGACCTGGCCGGGAACAGTAACCACAGATTGTGTCACGGCGCGACGTGCCCTTCTCAGCATAAGGAGGACGGCTCACCCCCCCTGGAGGAGTAGGCAGGAGCGGCGGAGCAGTGAGACGAGCAGACGACACAGGAGCCCGGGCAACCATACTGACGGAACCAAAAGCAACCCAGCAGAGCGAAGGCGTGTCTCCTCAGCCCGAAGCTCGGCAAGCACCTCCGATATAGGAACACGACCACGAGCAAGCAAGTGAGCACGTCTGGGCTCAA